TCCTGTACTAACCTACATCAAATGAGTATAATCATGACATTACCAAAGCCTTAATCGTCTCCTTTCTCTGACTGTTCCAGCTGCACAAGAACGGCAAAGCAGACGTGCTGATCAAAGACCTGTACGTGGAGAACGGCCAGCTGCTGCAGGCCCTGGAGATAACCGAGCAGCGGCAGAAGATCGCCGAGAAGAAGAACTACCTGCTGGAGGAGAAGATCTCCAGCCTGAACAAGATCGTGCGTGAGCTGAACCCGGCTCCTCTTCCGTCGCTGCCTTACCACTACAAATGCCCCTAATGTGTCCCCTGAAACACTCAGAGGGTCAGCCATACATTGCACTGTTTATGTACTGAAGACTTATTATGTTGTACTGCTTGGAACTTTTGTGCCAACAGATCGAGCCAAATGCACAAGAACTGGCAGGTTTGAAATATATGCAGTATTTGTACATTTTATTCTAAGAAATAATGAGTTGATATTGCGCTGCACCTATGAAGAACCAAATGTGAGGTCAGACTGTAAAGAAGACCTGCTATTTTACAGTAATTTATACATTTTTTAAATGTTTTTCAGTGTTACTAGTAAGTGAGTAAACATTTTACCGTCTGTGTCGAAGAGAAAAGCTGTACTGAAGTGTACTTTTAGATAAGTGTTCTTTTGTGTCTGTGTTGTCCAACAGATTCTCTGTGTGTCTTTCGCTCCTCAAGCCTTTATGTAAAGATGAAACTGAAACCTGTCTGTCGGCGGTAAAATCATGTCAACACAAAAGTCAAATAATCTGGTGACCTTTCCAGAGGTTTTATCGAACACTACCTGAAGACTCTGAAGCGTCTGTCACGTGGCAATATTTAACTTTAACATGTGATCTGTTGCAATATGTGAAGCTGCATTTGCGCCATTATGAATGTTTTTTAAGTTCAAATGAAGGAGCTTGTCTTGCTGCAGAATGAGCACTAATGATGAAACAGGGTGATGTTTGTGTTGCAGGTGTCAATAAAATGCATTGATGGTGTTTGGTGGTTCATCGATCTGTAAATGTCAATGGAATAAGAGGATGAAAGAGAGCTGAGTGGGTTATAAAAATGTTACACATAGAAACATACGCACAGCATATTAAGTTGTAAGGGTTCTAAATCAGTTAAAACAATTACAACAATACAAAAGCATAATGTGTATATACCCAATAACGAAGCTAACATTTCTATTTTATGCGACTTTATACTCTAATATTGTGTTTTTTACTGAGTTGTTATTTTTCACCATATGACATACATGTACACTATGATAAGAAATATTACACCAGCATTACGTAAAACTATTAAAATTAGCTCCAGCTCGACCGTCTACACCATTAAAATTCTCCTCACTTGTATATTATTGAATCACAATGATCCTCTGATATATTTATACTGATATTGGCCATTCTGCAAAGTGTGGACATGTTTAAATAAGGTCTTTTATTTGACACTTGGTGTTTTTGTTGTTGTTTTTCGGGGCATTATTTAGGTTTTTTGTCTATTGGATCCAGATATAATAACATATACTTAATGCAATGACCTGGAGGTCCAAAGTGCAAATGTTGAATCACATTTGCTGGTTCATTAGTCAATTTGTAGCATTGAAATTTGAGGATGCAAGATATTAATTTCTCCTCAAATACGGGCAGATTCTGCATTTCAGAGGTAAATATTGCACTTTTGACAACAATACATTTTCTACAGGCTTAGTTACGACTTATTTTTACATAAATATATACATATAATGAATGTGACAGCAACATTATATAAAACATTCACCTTACATTTACATTATTGAATGAAATAATATATTTGTAATTAAACAGGGCCCATGCTTTTACCTTCTGAGCTCCTTATAGGTGCAATAGAGGTTACTTCTTAGTCTGTGCATGCTTCTGTTGAATGATGTTTTATACAAAGAATACTGATGATTCTCTTTATGTGTCATCCTCGACCTTGTGTCATGTACATGCTAAATGATAAATCCACTTTTTAAAAATTATTTTATTCATTATTTTCATTATTTATTTTTAGTAGAGGTGACCCGGTATGGATTTTTCAGGGCCAATACTGATTTATAGTAATCAATTAGACTGATTACACAGATTTAAATATATATATCACTGACTTAAATATATATATATACATACAGAATACAAGTGTTTACTAATGTTTTACATGTGTTTAATTAAAAGAAACCTCTCAATGTTAATCCTTTAGTGTTGACAGAGTATTACTCACAATGTTGAATATTGGATCCAATACTCAGTTTATTTTTTTTAGGCCACCATTGTAAATGACAGTCTTGATCTTAACTGTTTTTACCTGATTAAATAAAACTTAAATGTTAAATATCAATCAACCAATCAATCAATCAACCAATCAATTAATTCTGCAGTGGGTGGAAATTTAAATACATGTTAATATGTGTGTCATTTGGATTTTTATTTATTTATTTATTTATTTATTTTACTGGATTATTAAGACTTTTTGTCCATTTAATCCAAATATAGTGACCTGAATTTAATGCGATGAGTTAAAACAGATTTTTTTTTTTTTTACCGGAAGTGCAAAAATTGCATCTCATATAATCAGTTTAGAGTCCAAACACATACATGTAAGTCATGTTTATGTCAGTGGAAGGCTCTGCGGCTCAGATGTCAACATTATTCGTGTCGGTGCTCCTCTCTCCTCCTGCAGAGGGCGGTTTATCAGCTGAGGAGGACGGACTGGACGCTGCTTATTCCCGGTGAGGAGCAGCGGCGGAGCGGACAGACGCTCCCAGAGTTAGCTCGGCGGGCTAACTGCTGCTAGCTCCCCCCTGAACGCTAAAAAAATGTTGACTTTCCGCGCCGCGCTAGCTGACCGGGACGGTTGCAGAGTCGAAGGATCGTGCCATGACTTCCCAGCGCCGTGTTGTTGATGTCTCCGAGCCTTGAGTTATGCTCTCACGAAAGAAAAGCAAGAACGAAGCGTCGAAACCAGCCGAGGTACACGGGAAATATGTGAAGAAGGAAACGTCGCCGCTCCTCAGAAGTAAGCGCAACAAGTTAGCCTGCTAGCTCGGGCTAGCATCGGTTTAGCCCGCAGGTTAAAGTTAATAAGCGTCAACCCGGAGCCAACTAACATTAACCAACAGGCTGAAGAGAATATTTGGGAATGTTTTCGTCCATGAATGTGACTCACAAGCTTGTAAACAGCTGTTTATTGTAAACAAACAGGCTGCTAACTGGGTCGTTCACTGCTAGCTTAAATGCTCAGCAACTTGCTACATGAACGTCAGCTGCGTAAAGTTGTGAGAAAACGGTTACAGCTCTTAATTTGTGGTAAATAAACTAAAACACTCAATTAAATTTAAGTTTAACTTTGTAAGAAAACTTTTAGCTTCATGTTGTGTGAATTATTTGCCGATAAGTCAGAGTTGGTGCCAGTTAGCCTGCATTCGTCCATCGGTCAAAGTGAAAGAGTTGTTGTGATGTTAAACAGACTGTTAGTTTCCTTTAACTGACATTTAATCTGTGTGATGCAATCAAGAGTTTTACCTTTAACTACTGGGGTCCTACAGAAGAAGTGTAATTAATACTTACTTAATTATACTATGTTGTACAAATAGGACATTAAAAATAGGAGCAGATGAACTAAAACACACAAAGTTAAAGTACTTATAATTCAGACACAGCGGCTCCTGTCAGTGTAATAATGTGGTTTATTATTGTGTTATTGTTGGTGCGTTTCATGTAGTTGTTGCAAATGCAGCTAATTGTAACAACTTCATTACTATTTGATTTGCTGTATTTACACTAGATAACACCACTGGGCTGCAACTAACAATTCTTTTCACTGTCGGTTAATCCCTTGATTTTTTTTATTTATTTTTTTTTTAGATTCATCGATTTGTTGTTTGTTGGGTTGAATGATATTGGGGGAAAAACTGATGTTGTGATGATTTGTGTTTCTGGGCCATTTTTTATGCTTGGAAAAAAATACAGGAATATTCGTCATATGACTTGAATCACTCTTTTAGGAAAGAATGAATAACTCCAGAATGATTGGAGTGATTTATAATAAAGAAAAAACTAATTTAATGGAAGACATTTTGAACTTTTCTCATTTTCAAAATAGCTTTTTGCTTTGGAATGTATTCAGGTTTGGCTTTGCACTCTTCATACGGAGCTTTGTAGTGCTGGTTTAATTAATCAAACGTTAGTTGTTTTGCCTTCGTGTGATGGCCGTAATTGCTGGAATCAAGAGATTTTTCACTTATTTTTCTTAAAAGAATCACATAAAAAAGGTTAATGAAAAGTCAGAACGGTTGCCAATTAATCTAATAGTTGACCAGTAATTAGTAAATTAGTTCAAGGTAGCAGCTCTGAAAAACAACAAATCATATTTTATGATAATCTTTTTGTATTTGAGTCATCGCATCTAAAATAAATACACTTTTAGAAGTTTCCGCTCAACTGTCTCTGATTTGCCTGAAATTTTTATAGCATAAAATATGAATGTTTGAAAAGATATTTGTGGAGGTTTAGATTTATGTGTTAAATACTTTTTGACATTTTTTTATTGCCCATTGACCCACTTTTTGCACATTTTAAAAACATTGAAATTTAGTGTCTATGTTATCATGATAATATTTAAAGAAGTGGTAAAGATAAAAGCCTGAAGTTTTCTGTTATTCCTCATCACATAATTAATTCAGAGTTTGACAAATAGATCAAATTTTGAGAACAATTTTGAAACTCCAGATCAGTGTTTCATTTGGATTATACTATCTTGCAGTATTTTGTTTCTATCGTACGGCTTGTCAACCCTTATTAGATATTTTTCTGTCTGTAGCTTACGTACCTTTAGCTGTGGTGGAGTAAAAATATGCCAAGTATGTGTGCTTCCAGTTGTAAGTGTAGTACTTGAGCTGGTGTTGGGTTATTGTGTTGACTATTTCTAACATTTGCGTTCTCTCTGTTCACCTGGTTGCAGATCTGATGCCCTCATTCATCCGTCATGGACCCACTATTCCCAGACGAACAGAGGTCCCTCTGCCAGATATGGGGCCCTCTTCCTACCCCGTGCCACCCAACCGGGAGCCCGTTGGGTCCCGTAACAAGAGCGTCCTCCGGGCCCCCGTACAGAGGCCTCCTCATGAGGTGGCCCGCCGAGAGAGCCACCGCATGTCCGCACCTCCATACCTGCCTCGCAGTCTGGGAGACCTGTCCCACGAGTACGGAGGCTCATCACAGTCCTTCCTCACAGACGTGAGCCCCATGTCTGAGAATGGAGACGCTGCTCGCTATTATTACCCCTCTGAACCTTATTATGACAACCAGCAACACCAGCAGCGGCAGCAGCAGCAGCAGCAGCAGCAGCAGCAACAACAGCAGCAACAGCAGCCCAGGAGAGTCCCAGAGCGCTTTCCTGAGGACTATAGATACTATGAGCACAATGAACACAACTTCCAAAGACTTCCCCGACAACACACGCCCCCAGCTCCAAGCAGACCCCCGTCAGGTAAACAAGACATGTGCTTTACTTCTCATCTTTTCCAGTATAAGTTTCAACTCATGAGAATAGTAAAGCAGGAAAACACACAGCATGCATTCTGTTTTTGTGGTTTAACAAGCCGAGCAGTCAGTTTGAAAGATGAATGAAGTCACACCAGAAAGTCTGCAACATTTCCCACTTATCTTATGAGGAATTCTTTTGCGTAAACCTCGCCAACTTTACTGAGAAAACTTTGCAGTTCAAATATAGTCGCTGCACTAATGTATGATTGCGGTTTTGAGTGTTGCGAATTGGGTTTGGACCACACATCGGCCACTGTGAAAGGAATGCAAGCCACTGGCTGTCAAGCTGAAAAGAGCAATTTTATTCCAGTTTTCCTGAGGAATTCAATATTTTTATCTCCCTGCTCGACAATATACACACCAGCGTGATGCAAGTGTGTAATTTCCTTCAGATTAAATGTGTAGGGGGTCACAGGAATTTTCCAGCCCTCCCCGAACGACAGAGAAGCTTTTATTTTTGTGGCTGACTTGTTGAAGTCATGTATACGGTTTAGTGTTATGTCAGGCCCGCCTATCGCATATCATGGAGCCTTGTTTGGAGTGAAGTCGAACAATCATTAGAGGCTCCACATTTTTCACCTCTGTTTGCTGAATCTTTCTGCTGGCAAACCAGTAATTTGCAGACCGCCCCCCAGTCAGATGTCTGAGCCTCAAACTGCTCACTGCTATGAATCATCCACGTACGTATGTGCTGCTCTCTTTATAATTACGTTTCACACTTTATGCTGTTCAGTCAGAGTCGTTTCAGAGGAGTCATCCGTGTAATTTTGGCAAATTCCTTCTGTTATTATCAGCTTATGTTTGTACTGTAAACATGTAGTTTGTTCAAGAACAGAAAAAAAACTAAACTGCTTGAAAGTACCTGTACTGTATTTCTAGGCCTCCTTATGTTTATAATTTTTTTTGTGAAAATCAGTTTAAAATATGGATGAATTTATGCCTAAACTGAAGTTTTAGCAGTTGTTTTCTTGTTGTTGATCGCATATAATCACATGATCAGCAGCTTATTGACCTTCTCCCCTCATTATCCCGTCACGCTTTATTACCGGATGTATCATATGTTCGGCCCTGTAATTAGCTGTGTCACCATCATTTATTTTTATGCACATTTTGATGTATCAAAAGTTCATAGAAATGGAAGAATTTAAAAAAATTTTGCTGATTTTGCAAAAAAGTTTCACATTTCACATAAAAAAAAATGTGTCAGCGCACTTGATGGGTAACGGAAACGTAGAGTCGTGAACACTTCACTCACATGACTGCTCAGCTGTTTCTTTTTTGTTTTCTAATACCAGGTGACATGAAAGCATAATTACAACTTTTCTACATTTTTCATTTGTAAATGTTTAGTTTGTTTCTTCTTCTTCTTCTTTATGGGTTTTTAGTAGTTGGCTAACAGCTGCAACTACATACTTGTCTCTCCTGCCTTTAGTAGACTTTTTATGATAGTATGCATACATTTGGGACATACTATTTCATCATAACGTGCCTCAAACTTTGACAGTCTGCGTGTGAAATGAGATTTCGTTTGTACGCTACAAAATCTGACCAGATGTAGTCGGACATCTGGGTATTTATGGCGTCGTGCATTGAGGCATACTAAATCTTTTTCTAACATGTAGTGGGGTAATATGGATACTGGAACGTACCTCTGGTTTTGCCTACAGCTTCTGTTTATTACAGCCATGCATAACAAAGCCTATCTGTCTTTGTGACATGTCAAAAGTTCGCTTGACAGATATGGAAACACAACCATTGACTGGCGACCTGTCCGGGTTGTACTAACTCTCTCTACCAATGTCACGTGTCATCTGGAATTGGCTTCGATTTCACCTTTCAAATCTGTAAAGAGTACTGTGGGTACGGCTGATGGTATGGTGCTGTATCTTTAGTCATCTGTGTTCAAAATAAACACCCATGTTGTCATCTTTCAGCAGAAAACCTTTTGGATTCGGATAAAAAAAAAAAAACTAATTGGAACTAATACAATCTAAGAGCTATACATGTGTATAGTTGTGAACAAAAGTTTACATCTACATACACTCATATCAGGACAGCATTGAGTTTCCAATGACTTCTTTAGCTCATAATTTTCTGTGTTGAAGTCATTGAAACACATGCGTCTTTGTCACAGAAAAACAGTCATGTATTTTGAGCCTTTTGTAGATTTAATAAAGGTTTTCTGGAACGATTACATCATCAAAAATATACAAACAGCAATGCTAAGATTTGGTTAAATGTCTCTTGGCCATTTTCACCTCAGCTAGACGCTTTTGGTAGCCGTCCACAAGGTATTTATGTCTGTGTGTACCTATATATACACACACACACACAAAGCATAGAACTTGCTTGTTGTTTGTCATTCATGTTTTTGTGTGTATCAGATGTGTTGTCGTGAAGTTGCCCACTCTGTGTGTTTAGTACACACACCACATGACGAGGTGTAAATCTGGACTTTTCCCAACTGTATCCAGCGAAATTCCTGTGATGCACCGATCGAGCTTTAGGTCTTCAGTGAGTATTTTCCAGGAGAAAAGGGCAGAGATGATGATGATGATGATGAGGTGGAGGAGGAAGAGGAGTGCATTTCTGCGGAGCACTCGCACATTCCTTCCCTTCACTCAGCAGCTGGCAAAGAGCTCCAGCTCTGTTGCTGTCACTCTCGTGCAGAATTTATCAGATTGTAGCCGCCATTTTGCTGAGATAGTTGCATTTTCTGCACGTTCTCTCGTGTTTTCAAACTTTTCTCGGTCCCTGCCGGCTCATTGGTTTTTTTTAAACCTCCTCACTCAGCCCAAGTCGTCCACACAGCTGTTGGCTCGGCATTCCTCGCTGACGTGATTCACCAATAAAAGTACAGGACCCGTTGAATGAACCCACTCTGCTGTCTGCTCTTACAGAGTTTGGGAGTTCAGCGGTTTGTTCTGTGCAGTGAAAGCGCCTGTGTGTATGCCTGGCCATGCAGAGATGGCTGCCTTCCTGTCCAAAAGTAACAACACTCCCATTTCCTACCATTCATCAGACAATGTCGGTCAGAATAAGATGCTCCGTCACAACAGAGTTAAAGGGATTATAGGAGCCTGTCCAGGACCGCAGCGTTACTTAATGCTGCATCAGTCATGCTTTAAGTAGTGATTCATTGCATTCCTCTCTTATCCTGCTGTATGTTCAGTTGCCACATCACAATGACCTTTTAAACGCTGGACATTCCTCTGCTTTAAGTGACATTTTCCCACACATGCTGTTTTTAAGAAATTTCTCCAAATATTTCTCCATTCCCAGAGGAGCTGTTAGCTGGCAGCTGCTCTTCTGTATGTTTGGTCAGACATCTCTCCCTCCGCCTGGAGCTTTCTAAAAAAGAAATGTTTGTTTTCCTCAGGCATAGGTCGAATACAGGCCAAGTCTCTGGGGAACCTCTCCAGTCTGACGGGAGAGGACCTCCCCCTTCCGGCCGGTTGGACCGTCGACTGGACCATCCGTGGCAGGAAGTACTACATCGACCACAACACCAACACTACACACTGGAGCCACCCTCTGGAGAGGGAAGGGCTCCCTCCAGGCTGGGAGAAGGTGGAGTCCGCTGAGTTCGGGGTCTACTACGTGGATCACATCAACAAGAGGGCGCAGTACCGCCACCCGTGTGCTCCGAGGTACGTCGTCGGGCTGTTTTGTACACCTTGGTGCATGTTCTGACCGCAGGTGTCGCCCCTGCTGATGTTTTTAAGGCCTGCTTTGGCAACTGGTACCTGTGAGTAACCGTTACAAGCTGCCAGGTGGTGCTTGATGCTGATTGGTTAAGCTTAGAGAAGACAACAAGCTGTTCTTCTGGCCTCTTGATGTCTTCTTCTAGTAGAAACATCACCATTAGTTGCATAAAACTGGCCATATGGGGGCAAACATACCAAACAGCAATGCAGCAACTATCTGGGTCACCATCTAGTAATAGGGATTAATTTAGCTGAATATATAAATTAAATGTTGTATATGTGTATAGTGTGTGACAGCAGGGAGCCTGTTATTCATAACTGTGTTACTTCATTAATAATTAATACTTTACCTGAATGTGTACAATCATGTTGCACTCTGACGCTCTCCTCTCGTTACCAAGTGATCGATTAGTTTACATTAATCAGTTTGTCTCCTGCAACTCCGTCTGCGGTTCTTCTGTTTTTTCAGTAGGAACTATTTGTCGCTTTTATGCACTCGAAATAGGTGCAGTTGTCGCAAAATGATCACATCGAATCAACTCATGAGTTATGAGGAAACTTGCTGAGTGGGCCGATTGAGAGACAGACCCTTTAAACATCTGCACCACCTCAACTTAGTTAATTAATTTTAGGCTCCTTTCCACATAGGAAAGGTTCCTGTTAGTGCGACAAGTGGACGATGTTGAATTTTGGAAACCCCTAACCCTTTGCAAAACCATGGTTAGGTGTAGAGAAAACTCAAAATGTGCTTCTGTGCAGCAAAACACAATTTCAGTGCCATACATTGTATTTTAAATAAAAGGTAACTGACATTTTCTGGTTTTCAAAACGACAGAAAGACATGGAATCAACATGTACAACATTTTACAAGTGCCCAGAGTTGTTATTAAAACTGGAAAAAATGTGAGCTCCACATGCTAAATATAGGCTGTTTACATTTTTACAGTCTCTATAAACTTGGTGTTTTTCTAACTTCTCTGCACATCAGCTCTAGAAAGATATTTCACCATGCTGAGTGGATCTTCCAACAACTTGCTCCTCTGTATTCTGTTTTTATGCCGTGCTGCATTTATTTTATTGATCAAATTAGTTATTTGTCCTCTCGAGCTCCCTAATTCGTTTCCTATCAGCTCTGAGTAAACACAGCCAGTCACGTACAACAATCTCTTAATATTCGTCTCGTTCGTCCTGCTGCAGCGTGCCTCGCTACGACCAGCCGCCTCCACTACCGCCTCCTGTGACTTATCAGCCTCGACCTGCAGAGAGGAACCAGCCGGTGCTCGTACCAGCAAACCCGTATCACACCGCCGAGATCCCCGACTGGCTGCAGGTGTACGCCCGGGCGCCACTCAAGTGAGTAGTGTGCCTGAAAGACTCGCATGTTTGTCGGGTTGGTGCAAAAATCATTCATAAGGAGTTTTATTAAAGCAGAGAAAGAATATAAATGGTTATTTAAAAGTATTTATTAGCTGACTTCAGCACCTCATCAAGGTAGAGGTACTTTAGTTGTTCATTCATCTGGCTTGGGATACTTCTTTGTAACAGCTGCAATCAATTATTAAATATTTATTTTCCAAAATGTCATGATGTTAAAGCCCAAATAATTTCTTTCCCATTTAAAGTCATTTTATCTACAAACTAGTTGCTTATTTGTATGTTTTAAGGCATATTTTTGTTACCATATTAGCCATAATAACCTCCTGAACCCCAAGCAGTTTCTGAGCTTCACATTTCTACTCACTGTGGGCTCATTTTTCACCACAATATAAAGTCCTGTACATCTATAGAAACAGCACAACCGTGACTAGAAGTAGAGAAAAGTCCAAAACGTTTTCTGTGCAGTGAGACAATTATAATGCCATTAATTATTTTTATAAAGAGAGAAGAAATACTCTGATTTGAAGACACTTCAACATCTACGATATTTGCCCACAGACACACTGAAAACATACATGGTGACTCTGCATGCTGTAGACATTTTCTGGTCTGTTTCCATCTGTTCTGTGTAAACACAGTCTGCAGTTCAGTTGAAAACTCCCTGATTTTTTTTTGTCATGTGACTGTTGATGGTTTCCTTATAGCACCGAGGAAGGCAGAGTGTTTTGGTTGTTATTGTCAGGATCTGGTAAAAACAGTATATTCTTGGCGAACCTCAAATAAAATCATTTCAGGCTAAGATTTGGTGAAGTTTCCCAACTGAACGGTACTGATGATTAATTCAAGGACAGAAGATTCAAAATCTGACAAAGGTCTCTGTTTCACAGTTTCTGCTTCTGATCATTTGTGTAATTTCTGAGATTTTTGTGAAGGCAAAAGGTCAGAGAATTAAAATGTGTTGCATGTCAACTGAAATGTTTATTGTGGTCGTGGTGTGTGTGCCTTCGTGTGCTCATGAGCTCCACACACCATTAAAACAGCCCACGTTTTTAAAGTCCAATCCGCCTGTTTCCTGTCCGTCAGGTACGACCACATCCTGAAGTGGGAGCTGTTCCAGCTGGCCGACCTGGACACGTATCAGGGCATGCTGAAGCTGCTCTTCATGAAGGAGCTGGAGCACATCGTCAAATCGTACGAGGCGTACCGGCAGGCGCTGCTGTCTGAGGTGGAGGCCCGCAAGCAGCGGCAGCAGTGGTACGCCCAGCAGCCCAACAAGAACTTCATAGGGAACATGTGATGTGTGTCGCCGCCACTCCTCTCTGAGGTTTCCACAGTTTGGGAGCGGTCGGAGCTCCCTTTGAAATCGTGATCGACTCCTAATTGCCTCTTTACCAAACACATCTGTGCCTTCGCTTGATCCAAATATATCAGCCAGGAAGTCAAGACACACTTTAACGGGGGGCCCCGTCCTCCCCATGTGACGCTCAACTTATGAATGACTGAATTAAACACTAGAATGAAGAAGCAGGAGGCTGCTCACGGTGCCTGTTACAGCCACCGGCCGGAGAACGCTTTGAATTCACGTTTTTTTTTAAAGACTGAGAGGCAACGAGTCTGAAAAAAAAAAAACCTGCTCCGGATATTTGTTGAAAAACATCCTGAGATTTGTGCCTTTTAATAAAATAAAATGCAGCAATTTTATAACGTCTGCTCATATCATGTAAACACACCAGCTACAGTTGTTCCTGTGGGAGAAGGCGACGGGCAGCTTCTTCTCACCTGGAACGTTTTCCTTTGCTTTGTTTCCCTCATAAACTGAAACCAGCCTGTGTTACATTAAACTGTGTGCATTGTTCTTTTTTTTTTTTTTATGTCATACTGTGTACTTTATACGACAATCCACCAAAACCTGAACGGGTTTTTAATTCTTGATGTGAAACGCGTCTTTATTTAAAGGCCTTTGACGGGTGAAGCGTCACGTTGGATGCAGTGGTTTGAGCAGCTCTGTAAGTCAGGAATATTCTTATGTTTGTGTGTTTAATGAAACATAAATAAGCTACTGGAGCATTAAGTTAGCCAGACAAGTACAATTCAGCCTCCGTGTTTCATTCTTTATCTGATTTTCACAGACTGACGTGTGTCTTCTACGACTTAATGGAAAAGCAGGTTCTTGGAAATGGCTTCTGTTGATTATTTGGCTCCTCTTAAGATACAAGCAAAGGCTGTTGTGCGTTTAAAATTAGGACAGTTGTGTTACCAAAATATTAAAACAGTTTACAGCAGGGGTGTCCAATCCTGGTCCTTGAGAGCCCCTATCCTGCATGTTTTACATGTTTCTTTCTTCCAACACACCTGATTCAAATGATCAGCTCATCATCAAGCTCTGCAGAAGCCTGATAACGATCCTGATCATGTGAATCAGGTGTGTTGGAAGAGGGAAACATCTAAAACATTCTGGATAGGGGCTCTCAAGGACCAGGATTGGGCACCCCTGGTTTACAGTGTCCTGACAGCTGCCTGGTTAGGTGACAGTATACGGTTTGTAGAGAACTCAGTCAGATCAAGTCAGTCCTTGCGCGAAGGTCTCCATCACATCTTTCCAGAACATCCACACCGCTTAATCCTCACTAGGGGGCTGGAGTCTATCCCAGCTGACTCATGGTGAAGGCAGGTTCACCTGGACAGGTCATCAGTCTATCACAGGGCTACACTTAGAGACAGACAACCAAGCACACTCACATTCACACCTACGGACAATTTAGGATCACCAATTAACTGTGGGAGGAAGCTGGAGAACTCACGCTGCACGTGGAGAACATGCAAACTCCACGCAGAAAGATCCCGGGTGTCCTCACCAGGACACGAACTGGCGATCTTGTTGCTGCGAGGCAGTGATGCTAACCACTGAGCCACCTTGCAGCCCCTTTCCAGAACAGTTTGTGCTTAAACTGTTTACCGTCTGGTGGAAATCAACCTTCTTAACATGATCATATGATGTTATTTATGTGTCAGCATGCAGGTATTTGTGCCTCAAAGCTGCGCTTCACTGATAATAGTTTCAAAAACACACATTCAGATGTCAGATGTGTTTTTAACACACTTTGATTTCTGTATGCGTTCATCAAATTTATTGGAAATAGCAAAATTAGACGACAACAAAAAAAAAGGTACAACTTTTGCCAAAAAGTTTTAACTTGGGCTGGTTTGGGATTTTTTGTAGAGATGGCCAAAGGTTGTTTTTGTGTGTGTGTTTTTTTTTCTTCTTTGTGTTTTGAAGCAGTTTGTTTACACCTTCCTCTACTCAGTTTGTTTTTTTTTCTTTCTAAGGCAGTTAATGGAAACAAGCCTAATTCATAAAGACGTAAAGACGATAATAATTTACACTGTTTTTTGATTTTGGTTATATGGAAACATGGCCAGTGTGCAGTGAAGAGCAGTTTTAGAGCAGAGTTGTAGGTGAGCTGGTGTGCTCGAGCTGCAAAGCGGCTGGTGTCGAGTTACATCCAGGTCATTTTAAGGCAGGAAGGGCCTATTTTAGTAAAAAAAAAAAAACAACCTTCTAAATATGTAGCTTTAACAAACAACCACAGAGGGAGTACAACACGTTAGATTAGTTAAAAAAAAAAAAAAAAACATATCAAAACAGGTTGAGTGATGAATTGTTAAAGTAAGAAAATACTGGTTGTGTTCCTCTTTTCTAACGGACAGGTTTTGTTTCCTACGTCTTGTACACTCTTTAATGCAGCCATGTGGCGTTTACTGCCACCACAAGCCAAATGTGAAGAAAGTTTTGTAAATTTCTTGCAGCATTTCAAAAATTTGCACTAAATTCGCTTCACAGTTTTTTGGAAACACGGCTAGGGTGTAGAGTAGTTTTATAGTGTTTAAGTTGTAGGTGAGCTGGTGTGCTCGGGCTGCAGCAACAGTGTAGAGTTGCATCTAAGCTGCTGGAAAAATCTTCTAGATCTGTAATTTTGAGACAGAGATGAGCTTTTGGAGGGTTTAACCAACAACCAGAGACAGACTTTAGCGTTATTATATGCTGAGAAAACATTTTCAAGCAGAACATTTTATGTCAGACTTTTTAAAAAAATGACAGTTATATGTTTCATTAATTTGGTCCATCTTTATTAGTTTATTTCTTTGTAACTGAAATTCTGCAACGCGTGTGCTGAAACTAAGCAGAGCAGACTCGGGGGAGCCACCGATGGGCTCCAGAACAAGTCCGGAGAAGATTCCAGTGTTCATGAGGAGGAGTGAAACCGTTAAATCTCTTTTCTAACAGACGAAATCTTGCAACACAACGTAAACAAACACTACTTTTCATACTCATGAATGGACACGGCACCCAGAACATGGTCATGTAAAAAAAAAAGGAAAAGAAACCTCACGGATCTTAAACTGGTCTTAGATGGTTCTTTGTGTGATGTTGATTATACATTGTGGAAGACTCAAGAAGCCACTCTGCTGCAGTGCCTTTAAATTTTCAACCCTTGAGGTCCAACCTCACTATAAACTTGCTAAATATGCATGACAGTGTTCCTTTTACTGTCGGTGACCAGATCTAACGAGGCCAAAAAACAAAACAAAAAGAGTTTTTACTGTATGCTGCTGCAGCTTTTGTATGTGACAGCGCTAGAAAACAAAAAAACCCACAGTTATACAAATGTACAGTAACAGTCTCGCTAAGCCAAAGTATTCAAACACCAAAAAAATGCAAGCAAAGTTTTGGAGAACACAAAGAGCCTCTGGCCTCTTTCATCATGCAGCAGTTCTGCACAGATGATTCAGCTTAAGTTTTGTGAAGATGATGAAAGAGACGTGGAATGAAGATCCTTTTTTTTTTTTCTCTCTCTCTCTCTCTCGTCTCTTTTCTCCAGAGCGGGGCCCGTCGCCACGCCTAATAACATCTCGCTTTGATTCCTCGGTGGCCGCAGAACAGCTACATTCCTCGGATTTGCTCGAACATTCAGTGAGAAACACAACAATGGCTTCGGCCGCCGCCTCTGCGTCACAATGGAAACGCTCTTTCCTCTCAAAGGCCAAACACACACACATGTATCTATATATATATATGTATATCAGAGAGGAGTTACAAAACTGCAAAGTGTGAGATAACGTCGGCTGCGATGTGTAAACTCGTGTTCCTCCGTTGTGTCGCTACTCCCTGATCCGCCAACCTCCAAAACAAAAGTGCCATCGAGTGTCTGCATGAAGTGATTTTTTTTTTCTTTCTTTTTTTTTTTTTTTACATGTTATGGCACGATACCACTTTGTCACAACCATTAAAACTATTTTTTTTTTCTTAATAAACTATACCTGGTTTTTAGAGCTTAAAGATGACAGACATTAACCATTTACCATGCTGATGACTCATTAGTTAACACACAGTACATTATTTTTGGCTTCCAAACATCATAGATATTGTTCCTTATAAACAGCACTAAACTTCAAAGAACAGAACGAATCGTCACGAATGAGGGAGGCGGTGGGTGGGTGGGGGATTTCACACGTTTGGCTATTATTTTGAAAATCATGGAGACAAACGATGGAGAAAATAAAGGCGGATGTGAACTCAAGAGCTGACTGGAGGTTGGATATGCGCAGGTCTCCTCCAGCAGAGTGCCTACAGTATCTGTACAGGTGTTTTTTCCACATAAAAGTGACGGTAGATGGCGTCCGTTCGCCTGCTCTTGACTTTACGCATGGAACATTACACAGTCCGGTATAAGGAGTAAAGTAGTGAACGTACCGCCGCGGCAGCACGGTACCAGAATAAAAGAGTAGTGCCTGATGGGTGAGGATGCTCCTCCACACAAAGTCCCTGCAGTGTTCTGTCTTTTCCTAATCAGTCCCTCTTCTTGTCCTGCTCCTCGGCGGCTTCGTCCACCTGAGGCCCGGGGAAGGCGTGGTGGTACAGGTGCCTGTGGTTGGCCGCTACATTGTACAGCTTGTACAGAGCCTGAGGGGCGAACAGAGAGTTCAGTTTAGTCGGAAAATCAAAACAAAATTGTGCAAAAGAGGCCAGAGGGCTGAGCTACGAAGCAAACATCAGATTAGGTTGAAACCTTTGCATGACTCGGACATGTTGCACTTTTATTGTGATACTTTATGGTGCATTTTTCAATTTGGTACTTCAGTACAATTTACACTTTATTGTGCATTTTGATATATTATTTCTGCTATATTTAGCAGTGTAGTGTCGGTCACTTTACTCTTTCTGCTTTCAATTATTTTATTGAGCATTTATTAGCAATTTACTCACTAAAACATCCTCTTTTTACTTCACTCTGCACAGAATTCCCAGCAGACATTCGTCCGAATAAAATCTGCTAAAAAACTAGGATGCCACAGTGACGCCTCCACCTGGAACATCTCACTGTTGCACCTACAGAATCTGGAAATATCTACATTTTTGTACCTTCTTCTTTCCATTTCCACGAGTACGTTACAGTGCAGGTACACTGGAATTCGTTGTGCATTTTTCAAAGAATAAAAGTCAAAGCAGCAGCAAAAGAGAAGCTACATACAAATATGAATTGTAAAAATAAACACAGAGTATAAAAAGCACTCTGTGTAAAGGTATGACAGTAATAAATACGGTGACAGGTATCGCACATATATAGAGAACAGGAGGAATATTGCACATGTTGGTTCATCATATTATACGTTCTCTACTGAATGTGTACATTTGTTTACATTTGTTTACATTTGTTTACATGGACAAAATAGAGGAGGCAGCACCTCCCTATACAGTATCTAGTTTGTTTTTTGTTCACATGTTGCCCTAGAAGTTGCCTGCATTTTAAATGCTTGTTTTATGTGACATTTAGTAGGGATAAAAGCTTAAAAAAAAAAGAGAGAGAGAGAGAGAAAGAGAGATATTTTTAATGTAATGGACATGAATGAAAATGTTTCTTCAGAGGAGGAAGAAGGACGTGTGATATTGAGCTGATAATGTAAATGTCTCCCACCAGCTTTACATCCGAGACTATGACATGTACTTTTTTTTTTCTTGTGTATACTTTTTGCACTACTTTTAGACATTTTGTTCTGCAATGTGCAGCATCAGTATTGATTTTAGTCAGTTATTAGTTGATGCATAGCTCAAAGGTGGTTTCTAACTTTCTCTGTTACCAGGTTTTCTTCATCAGGCTCTGTGTGTGCTCCCATAAAGGCCAGCCTCAAACACAAAATAAACCAATGGCACGCCTCCTGCTTTAATCAAGATATAATGAGCCACTATGAAGTACATATGAAGTATATATCTAATACCAGAGAGGAACACTGGTAGAAATGAGCTAAACGATAATACTTACTAATTACAACTCAGTGATTCTGAATGCGGCTGCTTGTTTCTAACACGACAGCTGCATGTTAGAGCTCTTACAATGTAAACTTAATACAATTAAACATGATGCTCAGTAGGAGCATGTAGGTCTGACACTGTCACATGATGGATACGTGGAAATAAAATGTGGTTCTGGCCGAATCAAGGTAAACATTAATGTTATTGATTGGATATTCTCTGTGATAAATACCAACAGACCAGTTTTCTAATGTGTGTTCTAGTAGCTGCACCGCCAGCAGTGTAGAACGGATTTGGCAAAAACATACATTGTCCTCGTCATCAACTGAATGCATGTAGGTTTCCATGGTAACCACAGATATTACGTGGTCCATCAGCTGAGAATCGATCGTTCAAAGAGAATATTCCCAGGAAAACAACTGGTAATAGCTGATTTAAAGCCAGAACTCTGACCAGAGCCTGCTCCAGATTAGGTCAGCTGTGCAGCATCGGTTACCATGGTGATGTAGCAGGTTAAAAAAGAGCCACCTCAGTGACTCTGACTTCAGTTCTAACACATCTCACTGATCCATTAATGTTGCTTCGTAGTACAACCCCTCTGAGAGCAAATTATACCAACACAAGATCACAAGCAGGACGTGCATCACTCCAAACAAGCATCAGCCAAACAGATACGTTCATAAAACAGTCGCACATATCATTTGAAATAAAAGCTGTAAAGCTAAATGTCTGTGTTGCAGGTTCATGTTTCATCACTAAGAACAGTTTTCATCAGTTAGAAGTAGAGAAAGGAACATTAAAAGCCACTCTGGGGTCATTGTTTTGATTTTACTAGAGTCTTATATGTCTTGTTATGTAAGAGGGAAAAAAAAGAAAAACTAATATAAATTGTGTCACCTTTTTCAGCACAATTTGAAAACTGTATTCCACTGTAGTGCCATGTGATTGTATTAATTTTTTAAAAAGCTAATAAACAAAAGTATTAATGCTTCCACAGTCATTCATGACTAAAAAGATTCCAGAGATTAAATATTTAAATATCTCTGCAGATTAGATTTAAAAACAAAACAAAACAAAAAAAAGAACATCAGAGCTGTTTTAGCAGCAGAAAGGCGACCTGCCCAATATTAGACAGCTGGTTTTAATGTAGTGGCTCATTAATGTCACTCCCAGTAGTGAACGCAGTAGTTAAGTCGAGTCACTCTTGTTTGTATAGCATATTTTAAACAACAAATATTGACCAAAAAGACTTTCTAGTAGAGAAATAACGGAAATAGCTGCAGCATATAGGATATCAGCATAGCTTACTACAGACAGTATCATAGATTTTTTCTGTTCTCTGAAGAGAAATGAGTTCTGTTTTGGTATAAAACTATAATTCTGTTTTTAAATTACGGATTTTTACTATGCTTTTAGTAAGACAATATACTGTCAAGCCAAATTCTAGATATTTATAAAGCGTAGTTTTATCAGTTATGTCAAAGAAAACATTGTCGAAAATGTGTGAAATTCACACTTAGTCTTCTTGGAGTTTGAATAGTGTAACAAGGAGGTCTGCAGCCTGGTTTGCTGTGATGTAGCTACTTAAAAGTGGTATTATTAGCACGAAAATCGGCATTAGAGTGCTGAGCTGGTTGACAATAACACTATTATGATCAAAGTAAATAACAGTGGGCCTAACATTGATCCTTGAGGGACACCTTCAGCTGTCTAGAGTCTTCTTTAAAACCTCTCTATCAAGTAAATGTGATTTCAACAATCAAAACATACAGAAAGCAGCTAAGTTCAACATAAAAGAACAAAAAAAAAGTTGTCAACAATATCAAGCACAGTTTTTATCAGGTGAGTTGAGCAGAGCATCTTTCAGAGCAGCGTAGACGAGTGATGACGAGGCCAGATTATCGGATAACAAGCTTCAAAGTAAAACAGAAGTGGATTTGTATAGCAGAATACAACATGTGTCCCAACTTTTCAGGATGATAATTAACAATAATTAAGAAATATAGCACTTAAAAGCACAAATTTGAAATAATACACATTTTGAAATATTCAATATTTTAAAATATTTAAAAACAGGCCCCTTTATCGTGCTAGTTATTGTGCTTTAGTGGTGCATTTTCCTTAAGACGTCTTCAGTTAAATGACTTATTTGACTCAGTGACAAAAAATAGTCCCACAGAAATGTGTCAGTGGCCTCCAGTTTTTATATTTTCACTGAAGTCAGACTTTTACCAGCTGCTGTTTAAAAGATGCTCTTTCTACTCGTGACTTTGTAAATACTCCCACTTACCTCATTTGTGCTCCCCTGCAGAGGCATTAAAGGAAATACACATAAACAATGTGAGTGTACACAAACGCATAACACACACAGTATCTAAAGATTCTCCATTAACAACAGATTATCGCTCTAATAGATCTGAGCTTGAATGGATTTCAAAGCGCCTGTTGCCACCTAGTGGTTTAAAGACACTGCATCACTTCAGCTGCTAATACAGACGTGGTGTAAAGCTTTAGCTGTTTTTTTAATTGTTTAATTGGTCAGTCAAATAACAAGAAATTAACCAGCAACAATTTCCGATGACTTTGCTCCTGTAAGTCTTCACTGCACCGTGATTTTAAATGTGAAAACTAGTATCAATGTAATTTGCAATATTACTTTTCTCACTAGTTTGTGCAACATCAGTTTTAGCATCATGTCTAATATTTCTAATATCTCTCTATCATGTGTGATCGTTGCTTTACTACCTCAGTATTATTGCCGGTATTACTTTTTCTATTATCGTCTCATTTTTACTCACTTATTTTTATTTCAGAATCAGAAAGAGATTTATTGCCAGGTATGGTTCACACAATATGAGGAATTTGTTCAGTAATGTATCGTATTTCTATCTTTTTACTTTCCTACTGAGCACTGTATTTCTCATCTCATGTAAATTTGTTTTCTGATAAATATTTGGCAGAAGAATTTCCTTCAGGATTATTAAAGTTTTATCTTCGTCTATCTTATCTTCATAGACAACAGTTAAGATTTTTTTTATTCTTCTTTCCTTTTTTCTTTCTTCCATCAGGGAAAAACAAACAAGATTTAATTCTCTTTTCTTGCCTGAACTCCTAAACAAGACTACATTGTGGTTTTCTCTCTTCTACATCTACTTACGACACCTGAAGGAGTTTCATTTCACTCTAAGTTATGAGAGAAAGACAACATGCACAACAGCAGGACCCTGAATTCATTCATCATCTGAACCCTGAAACCCACCAGCGGGTTGAAAAACATGTTATCTTCAATAAATTGCCCAAATTGCACCACTTTCAGAGCCAGAAACTGTAAAAACATTCAGTCTTTCATTCTTCCATCTAGTAAATTATCTAAACCAAAGCTTAAAGTCATGGTATTTAATCAAAACTATTTATTCAACATGACTCATTTAAAAAATCGCCCAAAATAGACCCTTTGCTCGAACAAGATTCTGTAAAAAACTAAAAATTCTGCACTCTTTGGTTCAACTGAGAAGCCTTGAATGACTCAGCTGCAGCCGACCGTCATGTCACAAAAATTCAAGAACTTTTTAGCTGACTGCACGCAGTGTTTACACAGAGTGACAGTAGACAACTATGGACACAAATTAAAAATGTGAATAGTAAAAAATGTATGAAGTGTGTAGAGCCAATATTGGTAACATCCGTGGGCACATGCTGATATGTTTTGTTTGTTTGTTTTTTTCAAATTGTTATGATTTATGGCATCATACATGACTGTATAAAACATATTTAAGCTCTCTTTACTTCTAGTCATGGTTGTGCTGCTTCCATAGAGCTGCATTACTTTATATTGCAGCGAAAAATGAGCCCACAGTGAGTAAAAACGTACAAAAACGCCCAAAAACTTCTTTGAGTTTATCAGATTCATATATTATAGTTAAAATCTGCCATAAAAGATACAAACATGTGACTATTTTGGGGATACATATTACTTTTAATGGAAAATAAATCATTTTGGGGGTAAATTCATTGTCATTATTTTCACCTGAACTCTTTCTTGTGTCACAATAACAGCAGCTAAAGCAGATTTGTTTGGGCTGCTGTTAAAACACGGAAGTTATTTTTAAAATTCTGCTTCTGGCACCAGACCTGAACTATGCCGGGACGTCTTCTTTGCTCTGTAAGTGCTCGACATCTATTTTGGCTGAGCTGAGAATTTTAAATTGATTCAAAAATAAACAAATAATTTCTTTCTTTGAAAAGGGAAGCCTGTTTTCACTGTTGTCTGATTTACTCTGTCTGCTGTGTGTATCCCTGATGCACGTGCAGTGTGAAGAGACTCTTAAGTTACGAGTTGCCCGGTGAGGTTTACCTGGTCCCACAGCGCTCCGGCCACCTGGTCGATGACGGCGCCCAGTTCTCGGTATTCCCCGGAGTAGCGGATGTAGGCCCAGGTGCAGAGCGTGATCAGCGCCAGGCCCAGGATCATGTTGCACAAGCTGGCAATGATGTCCACGCCCACAAAGCCCGTGATGCCCGCCGCCACGTACATGACAAAGATGACCACGAAGAGCGTGGCCGGCGTGCGGGCGGCGTGGAAAATGTTCTTGGAGTCATTGTGCTTGATGTACTGGACGAACACCTCGTCGATCTCCCCCTCCAGCTGCTGCAGGTAGCGGCGGCTGAACTCCTCGCCGCCCATCTTCTTCACGCCCCGGAACACCTGCAGCGCCTCCTCTCGGATGACGCCGTGTCGCGCCTGCAGCTCGCTGGGGGCCAGAAAGGGCCGGTCGCCTCCGCACACCTGGAAACAGACACGAGGCGGGTCAGAGCGGAAGCATTCGGCAGAGAGCGGATTTACTTAAGCATCCTGTCTTCACCAACCTCCTCCATCTTCTTGTTGTACAGATCTTTTGCAGCTGCAACTGCCGCCAAATTATTTGCCTCTGCTGTGGCCTGAGTGGAAACACATGGACATATAGAGCTCAAATATTCACGGTACAGAAAGGAATTCGAGTATCACTGCAGCAGATGCACATGAATAGATGCACAAACCTAAAAATATTTATTACATGTGACAGTGTGCAAATGAAGCATGAAAAATGTGATAAAATTAAGTGAAAATGAACTGCCAAACTGCAGCATACACACTAAGTCAATCATGCTGGGTGGTTTTATTATTGCAAAACAAACATTAACAAATTAAATACAAATATTCTACTTTAAAAATCAGCATTGACTACTAGAAGTCAGCAAGTTTGGATATAAACTGTGTTTAAAATAGGTTTCTGTGGAAATAAAACATCATTAAAAACGTACCTGTAGCATCGACTTTGGATGCGGCAGCTCCTCCCCCTGGTAGATTTTGATGTATGCCTGAAATATAACAGAAATTAAGAAAACTGATCATATAAATAAAAGAAATGTGCTCTATTTAGTCATAGTTTGTGTAGAAATACACTGCTTTAACAGGAAGAATCACAGTTTTTCTCATGCACTGACCAATTTTGAAATTCTGGGTTATTTAATTCCTGTAATATCTTCAGATTAGTTGAGAGAAAACTTCCAAAATACACATTTAGCTCTTTCTTTTATTTTACTGTATATTCAACATTTACACCAATAAGTAAGTATTCAATGATATGATGCCGTATATGCTGATTTATACATAATACATTAAAAAAAATGGTCCTAATTTTAGTAATTAACTGGGGAAGTTTTATGGTTATATTTATTAAATAGTTCATATATTTAAATGCTTGTTCCTCATTTTGATTTTTTTTTTCTCATACTATAAACTGGAAACTTTCTAAATTTACTCCTATCTAGACTCTGAGTGTTTTCACATAGGGATTTGTTAATATAGCATTCACAGCCTTATTTACAGATAATTATATTCCTAAAAAATACAGCAAAAAATAATCATTTCTATCTGACATTTGAGATACAAAAGATAATCAAATATAAGATATATATATATAAGATAATACAAAAAGATAATCAAAATCTCAATACGTTAACAAAATGAAACAAGAATTTTGAACTTATCCAATGTTCAGATGTCTGTTCTGGAAATGATCGCAAATTAGCACATATTTAAATAAACAATACCTGAATTGCATATTAAAATACAGAATTTCAGAAAAAAATTATCCGCTGAGGAAAGTATTATGGTAAAAAAAAATTAGTATTGAAACATTTTTAGCCAATTCACCTGTAGTTTCTGTATTGTTTCCCCTTAACAGTTATTTCTACCTGATAAACAGAACAATATAACTTCCTTGCAGAGGGAAATCTCTGCGAGCTGTTTTTAGGTGACACTCTGAAAGAAGAGCAGTCACTATAAAGCACAGAGTTCCCTCTTCCTGTGCGTCATCACGGTTCTTTGCTCTGACCTTGAAGTACTCCACCAGGCCTCTGCAGGTGATTTTGCTGCCATTGATCTCCTTCACGTCGATGTTACGAGGGCTGAGCAGCCAGGGGACCAGAACCTTCAGGTTGTTTATGAACTCGCCGTCGATCTCTGGACAAGGACAAGAGCCACTGGTGAGTACAACGTGTTCCGGCGGTGACGCAGAAATGCAGCGTAAACGTGGCAATAAACTGTTTTCTTTTCACCCTTCAAAGCAACATCAATAATTTACAAACATAAAACGTAAGGGATTGCATGTTTTCACCCGCTTCAAGTTAGCATTTAACAGATGCATCTTTGGCTGCTTTTACAGCATTGATCCTGTGTGGATAGGTCTCAATAGGCTGGAACAGCTGGACACATTTTACCCAATTTTGCTTTAAAACTACTCAAGCTCTATCAGGATGCAGAGGGATCAGAAATGAAAAACATCCCTTTTCAAGTCAAGACACAATTTTTCAGTTGGATTCAAGTCTGGGTTCTGACTCTGCCACTCCAGAACATTCACCTTGTTGCTTTTAAACCATTTCTGTAGCTTGTGTAGCTTTACTTCGAGTCATTATCTTGCCAGAAAACAAATCTTCTCCCAAGTTGCAGTTCTCTTGCAGATTGCATTAAGGTTTTCTCCAGGATTTTTTTTGTATTTTCATTCATTTTATTCTCTACCTTTACAAGCCTTCCAGCACTTGCTGCAAAGAAGAATCCCCACAACATGATGCTGCCACCACCATGTTTCACATCATGATGCTGCCACCACCATGCTTCACATCATGATGCTACCACCTCCATGCTTCACATCATGATGCTTCCACCACCATGTTTCACAACATGATGCTACCACCTCCATGCTTCACATCATGATGCTGCCACCACCATGCTTCAAAGTGGGGATGGTGTGTTTGGTATAATGTGTAGTTTGTGGTTCCTGCCAAACCTCTAGCCTGATGGCCTAAAAATTCAATTTTGGTCTCATCAAACCAAAAAACCTTCTTTCCACTATCTTTCACCATTGCTATGCTGATGACACCCAGCTCTTCCTGTCGTTCCCCCCAGACGACCACATGGTCTCTGCCCGGATCTCATCATGCCTTGCAGACATCACGGCAACCTCTCTAAGACTGAGCTCCTTGTCATCCCAGCCAGTCTCTCTCTACAACAACAAATCAGTATCCAGCTTGATTCAACCCAACTCAAACCCACAAAATCTGCCAGAAACTTTGGTGTCATGATTGATGACCAACTAACCTTCAAGGCTCATGTGGCCTCTGTTGCCCGGTTGTGTCGATTCGCCCTGTCCAACATGAGGAAGATCAGACCTTTCCTGTCTGAACATGCAGCACAACTCCTGGTACAAGCTCTCATCATATCACGCTTTGAGTACTGCAGCTCCTTACTGGCAGACCTCCCCGCATCCACGGTCAAACCTCTGCAGATGATCCAGAATGCAGCAGCAGGTCTGGTTGTCAACCCACCAAAAACATCACATGTCACCTCGCTGTTCAGATCGCTTCACTGGCTTCCAATTCCTGCCTGCATCAAATTCAAAACCCTGACACTTACTTACAAAACCACAATGAGAACAGCTCCTTCCTACCTGAACTCTCTCATTCAGATCTACATTCCCTCCTGCTCACTACGCTCGACCAACAAAAGCCGCCTGATACAACCAACACAACAAGGCCAGAGGTCGATAGCTAGACTCTTCTCCTCTGTGGTTCCCCGGTGGTGGAACGAGCTACCAAACTCTGTTCAATCTGTAGACTCCCGCTCAGTCTTTAAGAAAAGACTAAAGACCCAGCTCTTCACTCAACACCTTTGTACTTGACAGACTGAAAACAAACAAAAGAAAAACAATTCCGACTACCTCCCACACAGCCTGCTGTTGGCATCAACGTCCTGTCACACTTGAACTTGTTCTGTGGCACTTATCTAGATTGTTTTTCTCCTGACTGGATCCTTGTTTGTGTTGTATCTGCTCTCAGATGTACGTCGCTTTGGATAAAAGCGTCTGCTATATGAAGTTGTAGAATTGTAGAATCTTCAGCGTCTCCCACATGCCCTTTAGCTAACTCTAGTTTAAATTTTAAATTGTTAATTAAATGACATTGCTTCTGTTTTTACTTTGCAGAAGCTGAAGCTGAAAACTGTTTTTTACATTTAACACAATCCAATCCATAGACTGTACTTGGCCAGATGTTTTTCATTTAAATGCCTCTATTATCAGCCTCACTTTAATTTTCAAAATTCCAACAGGAAACAAAACTATTCTGAATGAAATGTCCACATGTTATAATTAAGTAGAAGGGAGGAAAATATACCTTTGATTCTTCCATCAAAGTGTGGGTTGGTGGCCACTTTGAGGCCAGGGTGAGGCATCAGGAAACAGGAGATGTTGGTGAAGCAGGAGTGGATGTGTTTCCGGACGTTCTGCAGCTCTTCATGCTGATTCTCTGAGATCTGCACCACAAACACAACCAGCACAAGGATCAGGTTATCAGATGTGATTGAGTTAAGTTAGCCTCAGCTGCTGTTAAAAGCAAAGCCTGCGGAGGAAACTGATGTGATGGGATTAAAAGTGACGTCAGTGTTGACGCACCTTCAGCCTCTTCTCAAGGAACTTCATGCCTCCTTCCTGTCCGTAAGGAAACTCGTACGGAAAGCTCCAGTCTCGGACGAGGAAAATCATGGACTGGGAAGGAAAATGTGACTCTTTAATATCATCAGTCAGATTATCATAATACTGTTCAGTGCAACATTTCAGGTTGCTTCAAAGACATTTGTATGGAATCAGCATATTGTCAAAATCCAGCGAGTCAAATCACATCCGGTACCTGGAACGGTTTGAGGAAAGTCTCCTCCATCGCTAGTCTGCCATACTCAGTAAACAGCTGAAATGAAGAAGGGAAGACAACATCAGCAATAATCTGAAATGTTTCCATGAAGCACCAAATGTTTTTTGTGTTTCAGAACGTCTGCGGGATGGTGTTGATTCAGAGTTTACATTTCTGGCAACAGGTTTTAAATCTGGATGTTGCCGTTTGAGTGGTTATCGTTAAAACTTTTACCTGCAAGTGCTGAAGGTCGTCCTCTTGTACATTCTGTGAGATGTTGTAAACCTGAAAGACATCATTTATTTACAATATTATTAGGTTCAAACATTTACAAATGGAAATATTATGCTCATCTACCTAAATAAAAACTTAGGCGTCACAAATCAGACAATATTACAAATCCTCGGCAATGCATGGCTTTACCTCAGTGATGGAGAGTAACTACGTACATTTACTCAAGCAGTACTTTGTCCACAAAGGCCTCACTCAGTCACAGTGGTGTTTTAAGCTAAATGCTGACATCAGCATGCTATAATGCTCACAATGACCATGCTAACATGGTTAGCGGTGATGTCGTGTCACAGTTTGGTGTGTTATAATACTACAGTTGCATGCTAACATTTACCAATTAGTAGTAAACACAGGTGTGAATGCAGATATATTGGGATGTCTTTGTTCACCAATATATCTGACAAATTTCAATTCGTGGTCTGTACTTATATGGTGCTTGTCTGTCACCTGAGCCACAGCTACCATAACAGGCACTAAATGAAAAGTTAAGGGATGACCAAAGAATTTCGTTGCAATGCAAAAGTGCAAAAAAACTGCAGTTCCTCAAATGGCCACTTGAGGCTGACTACAACAGTGAGTCAATCCCCATAGACCCCCATGGTAAAATGCTTAACTTTACAGCAGAAATAGACACGTTTACAGCCTGATACAAAAACTATTTTCTGCTCTATAGCTAGTTTCCTCATTCCTTACAACTGAACAGGTGTTCAATTTTGATAACGTTCGCTTTTATAACTTGTATAAGGGCTTGAAGTTGTACAAAATTAAGGTTTGTCAATTTTTTTAGTCCACAAGCTACCGTCACTGAAACACCCAAAACCACAAATGTCAAACTCACAGTGACACCAACGGAAACTAGTATTCACCCCAACAACATGTCACTCCTGGAGGACCGACTGACTTGCCTTCTGACAAGCGTGGCTCAAAATGCACATATACATTCATGCATGCACATAAATATGCACAGTCTCGTCCACAGAAAAGCTCGGTCAGCTGAGTCAAGGTCGCCGTACCTGCATGGAGCTGATCATGGTGCTCAGAGCGAAGACGGTGGCTGAATCCCTCAGCGTCGACTGGCTGTCAAACGTGCCCTGCGTGTCCATTAGCAACACGGCGACCTGCGTGGCGACACAGATGAAGACACTGACCTGTGCTGCAGTGATCTGTGTGCTTTTCCTCCACTCTGTTGTTGCTGAGTGAAGTGACTTTTAATACAGTGTGTGGAGGAAGTGTTTGAACTCCTGGGAACAGAGGCTACCTAAACCAAGCACCAGTTCGACAGCTGGTATTGAACGCAGCCTGAGAGCTTTTGAGAACTGCAGTGAAAGGAACAAAAATAAGAGCTGTTTGGCTGCTGCAGGCTTACAGAAGAGTCTTAATGCACGGATATGTTTATCCCATGCAACTTTTAAACATGAATGTGAGAAACTAGGCAAATATAAAGCGGAGAAAAGTGAAGTTAGAGTTTAGCTTTGAGGCATCCTAATACCAAGATTAACGAAAATATTAAAAATGCAGTTCAAAAAGGTTAATAAAGAGTCTGTGTCGTATTTAATTACGCGCCTCATTGCGCTGTTAATAGTCTGATCTCTATGCAGCTGCAGGATGATACTCACCTTTCTTCCGTCCGGTTTGTCCACCAGAAAGACTTCGCTCCAGATCTGGATCCCGGTGGTCTCCCTCTCCGAGCCTCCCCTCCAGGAGAAGCCGGTCAGAGGTTCGTCTGAATCTCCGAGCCACAGTTCAGACGCCTGAGCACCGCAACGGCACACAGTTTAGTTTAATATGTGGTATTTTACTGAATGTGTACTGCAATCAAAAATAGATTTTTACTACATATAAATACAGGAAAAAGAAAGAGACATATGAGCACAAATGCAGCATGCAAGGTCGTACACGGATCCCTGTGTATGGTTTATCTGGTCATGTGTAGTTGGTGCATGCGTGCAATAATATGACGTTCCTTTAAAGATCCCACGTTGTTCCTGTTTTCAACAAATTAATGAAAGTCTCACATATGTGTCCTTTAATTTTTGGCCTTACATACTGCAAAGGCTCCTTTCACCATATCTGTATAACTCCTGGTTTTAGTTCTGTTGTAAATGGGCTGTTTCTGTAGCTTTAAATGAGCTGCTGCTGTCCCCGCCCATTTCAGGAAGAAGACTCTCTCTGCAGGTGACGCTGACGTGAATGAATGAATGCATGAGACCAGAGTTTTCTAAGTGAGTGATCATTTTACATAGAAATATTAGCTGTTATCTTTCACTCGTGTGTTTGCTGAGTTTTGTCAGATAGCTCTAGCATCAGGTGTTGAGCGATGCAGAGCAGCAGCTTGGAATTGACAGCTGCTTAACATGTCGTCTTAATGGGCTACGTTTCAGTCACTATTTCACATGTGTTCTGTTGTCTGACAACAGAAACAGAAGAGATGCAAGTGACAGCAGCTTTATTGGGAATTCAGTCGTATTAAATTGTAGTTCATAAAAGCAAACCGATATAAGTGCCTGTGGGTTTTCTCTTCAGGTACATTGTGCTTTGCTGATGTCATTTGTCATTTCAACCTTGGAAACTTTTGCACTGGACCGAGTTGGATTTTGCTGCCATTGACTAAAAGTGTAGCGTTGACGGCAGCCAATGTATGACTGGAGCCAAAAGTGACCGGCATCACGACGCACCAATTAAATAGTGACAGTGAAGAAAAGCATTTGTTATGTTGAATTAAATTTTAAAAAAACAAACAAAACATGGATGTCGATGCATTTTCAGCATCAGTGCCATCAACTATGCATCGACTGATCACAGAAGCTCTGTCTGAATTGATTCAAATTCAGTTCAGCTTGTTTTCTTCCTTGGATGCTGTTTTTTCCCCATTAAAACAACCCCTTGTTGCTTTAGATTTGTTCGGAATGAAACCCTGAAAGTCTACATCTGTGTTTTTGAGGCTGTCATATGTACAGTGTAGTTTCAAGGTAGGTATACTTTTAATCATTGGGTTGGCTACTGATTCATTTATATTGTGTCTTCTAGTATATGAAAAACACAATATGGGCATGTTAAGAAGGTTAAAAAAATGCTTGATTTTCACTGAAGAAGGTCTTTGAACTTCCAATCATGAGCTTCCTCAGTGACTTTTCTCCCACAACATGGAAAAGCTTTGAAAGAAACATTATCAGGCACTGGGAGCCTCCTTAGATACTTTTTGGCTGAACCTCAATATACACTTATATTTGGGTAAAAACATCCCAAATTTACCTTCAAACAGCAGGAAACTGATTATTTGCGTTACATTTTGGATGCCAGAGTCCACATGCATCACTTCAACACTGTCCACACGCAGAAACTTACGTGGTTGTACATGTAGCGCAGCATGAAGTCCATGAGGAAGGACTTGCCCTTGCGGAAAGCTCCGGCCACAGAGATGGCCACCACCTCGCGGTCCCGGACCTCCTCGGCCAGCAGGATGCGACTCAGCGCCGCCTCGTCCAGCTCGAAGGTGTGGTCATCTTTGACCAGCAGAACCTGGACGGGCCGGGCTCGTCCGTCCGGCTCCTCCTCCTCTGAGCTCCAGTCGTAGACATTTTTATCACTGAGGGACCCTGAAAGACAAAAAAAATTTTAAAAATGTGACAGCCTGAAAGATGGGAAATCGGGTGTTGATGATATGTACTCTGTCTGTGAAGAAGCAACTAAAATGTTATTGCGTGAGCGAGTGAGTAAGCATCAAGAACTTCCCCACAGTGATGATAAGCAAACTTAGCGGTCCATTAAGCCAGGAAACAGGAAAGTTGAGTCCATTACTATTTCCTGTTAGCCTCAGATCAATAGCATCGCCTGCGAGCTTGTTAATAATAATTACAATGAATCAGGCCATGCTATCCATCCCATCTGTTTGCATCCAATGAGATCATTCAGTTTTTCCGGAGCTTTCCAGGCAGTGACTCAGTGTGTTTCCAGTCTCGTGCAAAAGACTAGGAGGCATCTCAGCTCCAAGTCACTCCAATGTTGGAGGTTGATTTTTGAGGGTGTGAGTGCAAATTTAACTCTCAAAGTAACAGATAAGAAATGTGGGGGTTAAAGATTAATGCAGGGTGCCAAGAACGTGCGGTGAATAATTTAACCAGGAACCATCCGAGGTTTCCTGTCAGTTCCCATCTCCTTGCAGAGGCCTCAGCCCCGGCCCAAGACGAGCCCGGCCGGTTAACCCGATCATGTTGCTGCTGCTGCTGCCCTTAAGACGTCAGTAGCACTTAAAGTGGGTCAGAGCAGATAAACTCTCTCATGACAAAGCAGCATCTCTTCTTCTGTTTCCCCCTATTTTTCTCTCCAGTTCACCCCATTTCTTCCTATTTTCCCCCAGGCCTGGATTTAAAGTTCAGCACAGAGTGATGTCAGAGAGGACCATGATGCTGATAGTGATGATCAGGCTGCAGATGATACTCCTGATTACATAATTTTACATCAGATGCACCATAATGACAAACATAATGAATCAGAAAGGTGATTTTTCAGGCTTATTGTGGGGCCTCACACCACCCCCCCCAACTGAGCACCTACTGATCACTGATTTCCACTATTTTTCCTTCAAAAATTCGTGTTTTCTTCTGCTTGGATGCTGCAGAACACGTTGCATCTGTAACGCTGCATGAAAATAAACGCAGCTGCTGTACAATAATGTCGAAGTAACCTTTCAATGATGGGAAATAAACACCTAATTGGCTGCGTTGCTTACACCCTCAGCTCGACGAATACAACAAAAACATGTATGTGCGTCAAGCGAAGCATGAAATATGAAATGTTACGTACACTCACCCCAGCTGTCTCTGTCTGGACGGTGTTTGGCCATGATGCGGTCCTTAAATCCCTCCGTTTGTGCGTAAATGTGCGGCCCTAGTCGGCAGTCATGAGTGTCGGTGGCTGGGAGGATGCCCTAGCTCCAGCACAACGGTGCAGGAGGAGGAGGAGGATGATGATGGAGCTCTTTTTTTTTTTTTTTTTTTTTTAAATTTCATTCCCACAGTGATGCAGTGGATGCTGCATGAAGCCAGGGGGCGCTGTTGTTCGCTCTTTCTCCTGCAGCAGCAGCTCCACAGTGCGGAAAAAATGAGTGCGGTTCATTGGACAATGTGCAAAAATAAGTGCAACCACCGAATATGTGCCTATTTTTTTTTTCTTTTGCAGCTGCGGCCAGGCCTACTTTCCTCACCGCTGCTGTGAAAATACGACACCTGCAGTTTTAGCTTCCAGCGGTAGGTGGCGTCAAACACACAGAAATTGGATCTCATGGTGCCTTCAGGTGCTGTAGTAAATACGTCCACTTGTATTCAGATCAGTGCAAAAACAATGTACTCCAAAAAAAAAATGAACAAAGCATTCAGCATTCTGGTTCTTAAAAGCTGCTCAAGGATCCCCTTCACACATATAGTTAAACAAATCAAAATTAGGATTTGATGCTGATATTTTCCTTTAAAATGACTATAAATGGAATATACTTGGTTCGTGGACAAAATGAGACAGTGGTTGACATTTTTCTCAATCAAATGTTCCTCCTCCATTGATATTTTCAAGACATACATGTTTTCAATGGCCTTTTTTTTTTTAAATTGCTCCTAATGGTCTCAGTATTTCATTTTTAGCTTAATTAGAATTATATTTTTACAAGTTGCTATCCTGTTTTGCCTGCTTTAGTATTTTATTGTATTTTATTTTGTTTTTAAATATTTTTTTTTTTACACATAATTTTGTTGCTGCCTGTCTGATAACATATACAGCACTTTGGTCAATGATAAATGTGCTACATCAATTATTTTTGATTGATTAATTAGTAGTCTGTGTCTCAGTTCTTGCCTTATGGAAAAATCCTAAAATAAATATAGAAATAGATGATTAGATATTCGAAAAGAGCACTAGAATTGATTAGAATGTCAGCGATCCAGAAGGAAATTCAAACATCCAGTAGCTTAAAAATAAAGATTAAAAAAAAAAAAACATGAATACAGAAACATACAACTAATGCAGTTTAAATTGTGGTGGTGCATTTACAGCAAAGAAGTAATGTAGTAATTAGCATACACAAGAACTGAGTAGACTGAATTATGTTGTCATGCAGAAATTAAGACGTGATCAGCCACTCTTGTTTGAGTTACATCATTTCATCAAGTCTTAAATCTTTTTGTTATCCAATTTTCTTATTTGTGAGAGTAAGTTTTTTTCTTTTTATTCCTGTGCTACATTGTGAATGAAGCCTCCATACTTCAGTGTGCATTTATGTAAATGTTAAATGAATAAATACAGACCTGAGCATGACCTTTCTCAGGCTATATGCACTCGACAACTTCGGGTTTAACAGTCGTGTCATTCTGGACCACGACTGGCTTTAAAATTAGTTGTGGTCACAAAATTATCTTGTGTTTACCCAGGCACAAGATTAACTCTGAGAAACTTTCACTTTTCAAAGGATGAATGTGAATATGTGATAATGTGTTCCTCATGTTGACCTCTGCACACTCTGCATAGTGAAGTTCAAACATCTGGGGAAATAAGCAAAACACATTTTGAATGGAAGTCACTCAAAGCTTTAAGGGGAAGTGGCAAAGAGAACACGAGTGTTGAAATAAGCTCACATTAAATAAGAAGGCCAGTGGGAGACTCTGAAGTGACCTGAAAGAAGGTGGTCTAATGAGACCAAAAACTGAGCTTTTTAGCCATCAGATGAGACGCTGTGTTTAGAAGACACTAAACACTGCACCTTATCATAAACACACCCTTCTGAGTGTGAAGCATAGTGGTGGCAGCATCATCAAGGGGGAATGTTGTTCAGCAGCAGGCCCTGGAAGGCTTGGAAAGGCAGACGGT